GAAAATTTTAATTGGTTTTTCAACAGCGAGAAAAGAATTTAATAACAAAAATGATTCAATATTATCATTAAAGTTCGGTAGAAAAATAAATAAACTAAATAAAATAAATAAAATTAACAAATTAAAAAAGCTTATGACAAATATTTGAAGACAACATCTTTTTGTTCTTCTTAAATAGTTGTCATGAGACGGTTATTCACATGCATAAAGAAGAGCAAAGAAAAAAGAATTTTGTGTGTCCACAAAAGAAAATAAAAAAAATATCCAAAGAAGACAGGCGAAGTTAATAAAAAAGAAGAAGAATCGAAGTGAATTTAAAAAAAAAGATATACAATAAAAAGAAGAACCAGACGAAGTGAAGGAAGTAACAAAAAGGTGTAACAAAAGTAGAGCGCAACTTGAAAAAGGAAAAAAAAATTTCATAAATACCAAAGAGAGATTAACTTGGCGAAAAAGAAGATAAACTTGAAGGGAATTTAAAAAAAAGCAGGTTGAAATTAAAAGAAATAACATTTTAACAATAGATAAGAATAAATTCTATAAACTAAAAAAAAATTCGTTTTAAAATAAGACGAATTTTTAAAAATTATTTGACATACTTCTGCCGTATAATGCAACATAAAAATGTCTAATTTTTTGAATTTAGAAAAAAAACAACATTAAAGCAAATGTCGACTTTTTTCAATTATGATGAGAAAAAAAATTGTTTTTAAAAAATTGTAAAAAGAAAAATTTCAAATTTTCATGTTTTTTAATATTGAAAGAGGAAACAAGAAGTTTTTGAACGAATAACGAATGAAATAGGAGAATTAAAGAAACAGAGTGAAGTGATTAAAAAAGTAAATGTATTATGGTAAATGCGAAGGTGCTCCTCTCGCAAAGAGGGGAAGAATGGGTTTTTGAAGGGATATAGAGGAAGGCTTTCACACTGGCGGCGTTGGTGTAACTTGTTAGTCGGGGCACTCATACATCTCCAGGACCAGGGAACAAGACGACGTCGACTTGTTTATGTGGCCAAGAGCTAGTTGCCCCTGTGGCGGCCAACTAAATCACACCCCGCGGATTTTATATTAAAACAAATAATTAATTCCGATGCCCCGGCACACCGGGTGGTCCACGATTCTCCACACAAAAACCGCTATATATAGAAAGAGAAAGAAACTAAGTAACGATACGATTCGGTGAATAAACATGCCTATCGCACGCCATCGCAATATCGTCCTCAAAAAAAAAAAAAAAAATTCTATACAACAGTTTCAAGATCATCGATTTGTGCCTTATTGGTTTCTTTTAAATCGGAAATTTAATTTTTTTTACTTCTTTGTAAGTTCTCTTGTAATTTCGATTTTTAAAAATCACCACTTGTGGGAAACTTCAAAGTAGTCTCCAGTTGCATTTGTTCGACATCTGTTTTAACTTTGAAATTCACCCTTAGGCACAGTGAGTCGAGGGTCAAATTCTCACCAACTTTAAGAGGTAATTATCGTAATTATTCAAAAAAACTGTTTTACCGACCGTCGGTATAACTATCGAGATCTTTCTTGTTTTCAAAAAAAAATCCAAGATTTAATGACCAGAGAGCGTTCAAGTGTGGAGAAAAGGATTCTCGAATTTGTTAACCTCAATATTATTCACATTGACATTTGAGACACGCTTGTAACGTGGACATTCATCTCATGAACGTATGGATGGGGTTCTGCAAAATATGAACCTGTCCAGACTCCAGTTTGACTTTACGTGAATGTGAAGCGCGCGTCCCCTCCGTTTTATTACGAGGCACGTCATTCGGTTTCAGTAAACAAAAAAAAATCTGACTCGATATTGTTGAGTCAGATTTTTTTTCAAATACAATATCCCACTGCCAAAAGCTTCCTCGATGGAGAAATTAAAATCATTCTCTTCAGTAAAGATGAAGCAACTTGGAATTAAATACGCTTGAAGTATATTCACTTTGAATAGAAACTGCGCATTTCTGAATTAATAACAACATTCATGTAAATAAAATTAAACGGTTTAATGGTGCTACACGAAATTCTGAAATGCAATTTAATCGTGCTGTAAATAAACTTAGGTGTGAATATAAATAGTAAAAAAATTTCTTCTTTACCGACTAATGAATATGAAGTGAACTGTAAAACCTGCAGTCGGTAAAGAAGAACACTTTTATTATAAATCCCGTAAAGAACCGTAAATTTGATTTAAATCTATAAAAGACAATTTTTTTTTTAAAAAAGGTCCGTAAAGTCCGTAATTTGATTAAAAAAAGACGAACAGATTCGTAAATTGTACGATATAATTTTGAAAGTTTTAGAAAATTACAAATGATTGCAGAAATTCAATTATTTTCAAAAGTAATGAAATTCTTAGCAAAAAATTCAATTATGTTCAAAAATTTTTTAAAAATTCTTGTCAAAATTTTAATTATCTTTATAAATAAAAAAATTTTTTGCCAAAATTCAATTATTTTCAAAAATTTCCCTCAATTTAATGATTTTCAATACGTATTATTTTCATAAAATAATAAAAATTTCTTAGCAGAAATTCAATTATTTTAACAAATTTTGTATAAATTTCTTCGAAATATAATTAAATTATTTTTATATTATAAATAATAGCATTTTTACAGGAATTCAATTATTTTTGCTAAATAATAAAATTCTTTTTAGGAATAAAATTATTTTCATAAATAGTAAAACTCATCGCAGAATTTCAATTATTATTTTTAATACATAATTACATAAATGTAATAATTATTAAAAATATTAAAATTTGTCAAACGAATTCAATTATTTAAAAATTTTTTGATAAAATTCTTAATGAGAATTGAATATTAAGAAACATTTAATTATTCAATAAATTATGTTTTTATAGTTATTTAAATAATAATTGAATTCTAGTAGAATTTTCAAAAAACTTTCTCAAAAATTATTAAAAATAATAGATTTATAGAAAAATCTTAGTTAACACTAAAAAAAATTTAATTTTGAAAAAGTTTAAAAATTATTGCAGAAATTCAATTATTTTCAAAAGTAATAAAATTCTTCTCCGAAATTCGATTATTTTCAAAAATTTTAATAAAATTCTTGTCAAAATTTCAATTATTTTCAAAAATTTTCCTCAATTTAATAATTATTATTCTATAATTTTTAATATCTAATATTTTAATTAAATATTCCAAAAGCATTCAATTATTTAAACAAAAATTTCACGGATATTAAATTATTTACAAATTTATTATAAATTCCTTTGTAATATAATTCAATTATTTTTCTAAATAATAAAATTTTTACAGGGATTCAATTATTTTTTTTTAAATAATAAAATTCTTTTTAGGAATTCAATTATTTTCATAAATAGTAAAACTCATCGTATAATTTCAAGTATTTGTAATACAATTTTAGTTGAATTTTTCGGAAAATATAATTATTCTTAAAAATTTTATTAGAAATATTCGACAGATTTCAATTATTTAAAAATATGTTGATAAAATTCTTCATGAGAATTGAACATTTAAAAATAGTCAATTTTTAAATAACTTATTTATTTGCATTTTATTTGTACTTAAATAATTAAATTCTCGTAGAATTTTCTAATAAAAATTGATTTTCATTTCATAAAAATGAAGTTCAGTTGAAATTTTAGATAATAATTAAATATTTAAAACAATATAACGTGAATTTTTAGAAAAAACTAAATTTTAAAATTAATTTTTTTTGAAAAAGTGTAATTAAATTTTCTTTATTATATTTGAAATTTTTATTTTCTAATATGTTTAATTTGAAGAATTTACGAATAATTGAAATTTGTAAAATTGAATATTGTAAACATTTGTAAATAAATGGATTTTGAAAATTGTCGAAGAACTTTTTCGAAAATTAATTGATTTAAAGAAAAATTTTAATGAAAAATTCTTAAAAATAATAATTGAATTGAAATAATGAAAATAATTTTGAAGAAGTACCATTTTTGATTATTATAAAACATGAAGAAATCGAGTTGAAAACTCGGAGTGATCGATTTCTTTATGTTTTATAGTTATGACAAAAATTTAATTTTTTTAAGAAAATTCTTTCTAATTAAAAATCACTAAAATTTAGTAGATTTCATGTAGAAATTCTATAGAAACATTGTAAGGAAATTCTGTAGAATATAGAATGATTCTAGTGATATAGAACTTTTTCAGCTGGGAAAGCAGAAAACCGTTATACCGACTGTTGGTAATGGAAAAAACTGTATGACCAGCAGTCGGTAAAGAAGTTTCGAATGAAATAGGTCGTAAGAAAATACAACAAATATCTGCCGGAGTGTATTTTATTTTCACGAGGCGTGGATTTCTATAATTATTATCAGTGCAGTGTTATCAGTGAACAATATTGAAATTGTGATTGAATCGCTTAAATAATTGGAGAAGAGTGAATTCACATTGGACTGTCGTTTATCGAGTGCAACATCTGTTTGCGTATAGGTCGTAAGGCAGGTATAATCAGGGTGTGAATTCCTGGTATTTAAGTGTCCACCACCAGTAACAGTACAGCAGGCGAATGTTACCTTTTCTTACGCTGTAATGATCTCTTTGTCCGGGCAGCGTGCGACTTTAAGTGAAAACGTCCATTCAAACAGCGACAATAGTTTCGTGCATTGAATATATTGCTTTGATTGCGGCCCGAAGATAACTGCAAGTCCAACTCGTCTCTCTCTCTCTCTCTCTCTCTCTCTCTCTCTCTCTCTCTTTCTCTCACTCTCTTTGCCTATGGCGTTTATTCGCGCCCTGAGATAATCGGCGCGCATTGACCTTCACAACTAATTATTCTATCGTTTTCATTGCAAGAAATATATGAAATAATTAAAAGTGATGACCTCTAATCGTAAACTTGTACATTAGAGAGAAAGGGACAAACAGTACTTTTATTCTTTTGTCTTTCATGTAGGATTAAAAATTTTTTTTTTTAGAATTTGTGGTAATTTCATATAGTTTATGAGGCAAATAAAATAGACGTACAAAAATTCATAATTTTCGTATATTTTTAAATTCTAAACATTTGTTATTAGTTTTATCTATAACTTCGACTGCTGGGTAAAGTTGAATAAGGTTGAATAAGATTATAGCTATTAGGTTCAAATATATGCACACTCTTTAAAATTATTTAATATGGCTGCCGATTATGTTTCTTCTCAATTAACAGCAACCCTTTCGTCTTCTACACCTACATCGATGGTGTAAATTTAGTCAACAGACCTGCAAATAAAAATAGAAAGAATTTTTATAAAAATTAGAAAATATAGTAAATGAAAGTCTTCTGATGGTTAAAAAAGACTGTGAATCCGTATCAGATAGTCTTCAATCAGTTAGTCTTTATCAGTTAGTAGTACCAGTTAGTCTTCATTTAAAATTGGATCTACGTACACAATGTGGATAGTATTCCTGAAACTAGGACCCCGTTTCCATCCATTGACCACTACAACAGAATTTCCAGTTTGTACAAATCCTCGACTCTTTCCAAATTCAAGACCAAATTGTGTATAGGCATCCACGTCTTTTAGCAAGTCTGCAAGAGATATTTAATGTTCTGAATTAATTTTCTTATTTTGAAAATTTTGCTATAATGAATCAAATGCTTACTTGTGTAATGAAGAGGGAAAATTCCCCGATAAAGATGTGCCTGTTTTGCAATCGATAGATACCTAGTCACAGCAATAATCGGACAACGTGGTCGATACTTGGAAATAAGATGTGCAGTTCTTCCGGAAGTTGTGAGAACAATAATAGCACTTGCCAGACATTTGTGTGCTGCTTCAACGGACGCAATTGCTGTCGAGTGCGATGGATCGATTGGCGGAAGAACTTTACTCGTCAGATCAATGAAAAGTTGCTTGTGCCAAATTACAGCCTCAGCCTCCTTGCAGATATTTGACATTGTACGAACACATTCCAAAACATAATCTCCTACCGCAGTTTCTCCTGTACACGTGACAGTATAGTTTCTCATAATCAGTATAAGTTATTCTAGTTCTCGAATTCAAGAGAAATCTCGAATTCGAGAACTAGAACTTATATACTGATTATGAGAAACTTTTTTCTAGAACTTTATCATCTATCTTCAAAGTTAAAAAAACGAGATTTAAAAAATAAAGAGATTTCTAAAAAAGGGAGTAAATATACCTGACAGCATAACACAGTCGGCTCCATCGAGAATAGCATTGGCAACATCCGATACTTCGGCTCTGGTTGGTCTTGGCTTCTTCGTCATCGACTCAAGCATTTGAGTTGCACAGATTACTGGCTTTCCTGCCTTGTTACACCTACTGATCATCGTCTTCTGAGCCAGGAACACCTTCTCCGGAGGAATTTCAATTCCAAGATCACCGCGTGCTACCATAATACCGTCGGATGCCTCAATGATCTCATCGAGATTTCTCATTCCCTGATGATTTTCAACTTTCGATATGATTTTAATATGTCTTCCCTTGGTGCCGAGAATACTACGAATCTCAGCAACAGCCGCAGCATTACGAATGAATGAGGCGAAAATTATGTCCACCTCATGATCAACGCCGAATGTTAAATCTGATCTGTCCTTTTCGGAAACCGCGGGCAAATCGACATAAACACCCGGCAGATTAACGCCCTTACGGGAGCCAAGTGTTCCACCGTTCTCGACAGTTGTCATAATTTCAGTAGTGGCTGGAATATAAAGATTTTTTAGATTAGAGATTCTATAAGGTGTATTCTATTAGGTATTAAGTATTAAGATGTTTGTATCCTAACAAATTATTATACTCTTCTCAAAAAGCTGTACATACCGACTTCTTTAACAATCAATGAAATTAATCCGTCATCAACAAAGACCCGATTTCCTGGTTTCAGCACCTTTGAGATATTTTCATAATCGATATAAACCATTTGATTATTTCCCCTCTCCTGGTATCCCTTATCGGTGGTTAGTTTAAAGTCCTGTCCCTTTGCCAGATCAACTTTTAATCCCTAAAAAAATTTATATTTTAGAAAATAAAAAACATAATTTCCCTCCTAAAGTGAGTAAGTTCATAAAGTAAGTAAGTTCGTAAAGTAAGGAATTAGAAAAAAGTTAGCTAGTTGAAAATAAAATGATTCTTTTTATTATTTGATAAAGAATACTAACACCTTGGAGGAGACCGGTACGAATTTCGGGACCTTTCGTATCGAGAGCAATGGCCACTGGAATGTCAAGTCCCTTTTTTCTTGCTAGATTTCTTTGTGCAGTTCTCACGTTGGCAATTATTTCACCATGAGACTCGTGCGTTGCATGAGAGAAATTCATTCGGGCAATAGTCATGCCTGCCTCGATCATTTGCTCCAATGTTTCGACCTTCTTCGCGGTTGGACCAGTTGTACAAACAATGCCGGACAAACGTACAGGTGATGCTGGGGTAGTTACATCAAGAGCGCACATATGGTCCAGGTGACTTTGCGCCACCAAGCCTGATGGTACTGTAACTCCAGTCATCTACAATTAAGAAACAATAAAAACGATTAATAATTATTTATGCACTTATTATTGCATTTAAAATTAAAAATTTTTTTTTAATTTTTCAAAATATTTTATTATTAATCCTTAGAAGAAAAAGTTAATGGTTTCATTGGTTGGTAAAAAATATTTAAAAGCTGTAAAAGCGCAATTACTTTTGCGTTTGTATTTAAAAACAAATAATAATTTTATTGGGTACAGGTACCCGCATTTTTTTTAAACACCTCCTTAATAATCTTCTAGATGTTTTTTCGTCTAAACTTATGAGTTGAAACTTGAAAGTGATGAACGAAGGGAAAGAATTCACTAGAACATTCCAACACTCAAAAAGTTGTTCGAAAGGTTTTTTGGAATCTAAGCATGATGCCTGATAACGATTAATAATAAAATGTTTTTAAAAATTATTTTTTGCATGCAATTAAAATTTGATATATTATGTTATATTTATAAAATTTGTATCATAGGCTTCAAAATTCTTTAGAAATTTTGCTATTCATTGCATTTGTTTAAAACGAAATTCAAGAATGTCAAAAATATCGAAAGTATCCCCAAATTAGCATAAAAAGCATATTTCCAAAATGGTACCCAAAATGAAAAAAAAAATATTGTAAACTAGTGTAATTTATTATTTACAACATTAGAAAATTATTTAAAATTATTATTATTATTAAATTTAATAAAAATAAGAAATAAATAATTAAAAGGTAAAGTATTCAAATTTAGGGATTATAACTTACTTTTAAGTGCTAATTTTGCAAATACCTTAGTAGTTAAGTTGTTAGTGGGAATTTGAAGGAAAATGTAAAAATTTAAAGTTGATCTTTACTGACGAATTGCTTGTGATGGACTAATGTCTGAAAACACAATAGGTTCTCCATTTATATGACTACACCGTCGTCATTACTTCCTCATTTCCTGTGTGTTGAATCGGGGCGCATGACTATTCTCCACACGGAAAAATTTTGTTCACAGAAAATTCCCGAACTGCACCTGAACGATGGATATGTAAAAAAAATTGAGGTTCTACTCTTGCATTACACTAAAGAAATTCCCGAACTTTTCAGAATTGCTCCTACTGTTCACGGCAGATTTCTGAAAAGTTCGGGAAACTTTTTCTCACATTCAGTTCGGGAACTTTCCCTAAACAAAATTTTTCCGCGCACCTGGAACTTGCAAGAATTTTTGTCCAATTGAAAAACATTAACTTTTCTGTGGTTTAAATTTTCTTTAAGCAAAATTTTCATTTACCTAAAATATATACTGTAGAAAATCGCTAAACAACTACAAGTTCTATTACTTTCATATATTTTTCTACTTGAAGATTTTTAAAAATTGAAATACAGTCAAATAAAAAATATTTCTCATAAATATTTCTTCAAATACTTATTATATTTCATAATACTTCAAATATTTATTATTTTTATTTTAATGTAAATAACAAATAATTGATCACTGTAGTAGTTTTTATTCTTATTTTTTAGAAAAAGGATTTGGTTAGGCTCAATATAACTTCATTCTAAAAAAAGAGAAAAAATATATTTTTACTGAAACAATAATTTGTTTTTAATGCTAGAAGACTTTTAATTTAAATTAAGTCTACAAATAAATAGTTCATCGTATATTTACAGTCAACAAGTCATATTTTTTTAATAGCCTTAGAATTACTTCGCCATTAACAGTATTTAGATACCACTTAATCTAAAATAATGTTCTGTGAAATTTTGTTTGTTTTTAAAGTAACTTATTTTTATAAAATATTATATAATTGTTTTATTCATTTGTAATTATGTAATTTTGATAAAAAGATTTCTTTTCGATTAGTAAAGTCGTATATTCTATTTACATTTATAAAACATTTACGTTTCGACAATAAAATCACGACATTAAAATAATTTTGATGATTAATGATTATTCCCTAAATGTCATTTGACCGAACTGTCATTTTACCGAATTGCATTTATCCGAATTGTTATTTTAACGAAATGTCACTTTTGCGAATCGTCATTTTTGCGAAAAGTCATTTTTACGAAATGACATTTTTGCGAATCGACATTTTTACGAATTGTCATTTTTACAAAACGTCATTGTTTCGAAATGTCATTTTTTTTGAATTGTCATTTTTTACGAAATATCACTGTTGCGAATTGTCATTTTTGCGAAAATTCCTATCGTAAATCTATATATGCATACAAGTTTACTATAGCAATTTTCGCAAAATGGCAATTCGTAACAGTGACATTTCGTAAAAGTGACAATTCGCAAAAATGGCAATTCGTAAAAATGGAGATTCACAAAAGTGACATTTCGTTAAAATAACAGTTCGAATAAATGCAATTCGGTAAAATGACAGTTCGGTCAAATGACAATATCCATGAAAATTATAGCTCTCGATGTTTAAACAGCAAAATGACGTAAATAATTGCATCGGGGAAGTGAATATATAAAAGTTGGTGCGAGCTCTATACTCTCTTGTTGAAGAATTTGAGCCTTTCTGTCTGGTGACACAGGAGAAAAAAGCGTATACACTATATCGTTCACCGGGAAAAACTTATGGTCATAACATCTCGACTCGAATCTGGTCCATCGCCATATAAACTTGATCGGATCAATGTTCGTTCGTTTGACTTGTTGTTTTCTTGGATTGTGTGTGCCCGAGAGACAGAAAGAGAGAGAGAGAGAGAGAGAGAGAGTTTGTGTTGTGCCTCGTGTGTGTATACACATGCGGAGGAATGGAAGCGAGCGCCGCCACCACCGCCTCAGCAGCGGCCGCTTTAGGGTCGCTGACTCGAACGGTCGCCGATCCGTCAGTCGATTACTCCGGGGATCTTACGTGAACATGGAAACAGGTTCTTGGAATCCGGTTCTCGATTCTACATACGACTCTAATCAACGCGGTTAGATTGCTGCATCGTTCCCTCTTGGTTAGTTGTTCGCTCCAACCCAGGAGCGGACTCGATACACCTACTGTGAACATTGTTCTCTCTCCCGAGTCTCAAAATCGCCATTCGCAAATATTCATAATCTCCAGTTTTCATTTTCGCATTATTCAAACTTTTTTGGGTATGAAAACTTATTTTCCGCAAACTTTAAATGTTTGTTTCTTTTTGGTTATTATTATTAGTTTTAAGATTCTGGCGCTAGTGGGAAAAATGTTGCAAATCAGGTGTCAGTTACGTTTTTAAGGTACTTCTGCAAGCATTTTTCAACCACACGAGTAAAAAAGACAATTAAAAAAAAACGCGGAAGGAACTGTCCACTTGTGCTCATCGTTAATTCTTTTTTTGTACATAACTATAAAATTGTTAAATTAAATAAATAAATATATTTTACGCTAAAACAAAGTCGGTAGTAAAAGATTAACGTTCTAATTATCTAAATATTTAGAAAAAAAAGAACAACCACAAGGAATCCGTATAATCGAACGGAAATAATAAATCCCGAACGTTTTTATCTATATAAGATTTTGTGAACGTTGTCCTAATAGTAGATGAAACGGATAAGGTTGAGTTTGTCGCGTTGTTGGATCGCAAAACGCAAAGCGGTCGATCAATTAAAAGACGACGCGGACTTCGTGTCCATCCTATTTTCAATGCGTATATAAGTACATTCCGCGGGGCAGTTATCTCAATCGCGAGGAGAGCAAGGAACGATCCGACACAAAGATCCCTTATTGAAATTCCAGCGGAACAATTTCTTTTCCGGCGACGCAATGCGGCGAAGGTTACAATGTTCGCCTCCCCATCCCCCTGAACGGCCATCTGCCGCGCGCACACACATTTTGCCATAAACACAAAACCGTGAGGATGGACTTTAAAACTTTTCGGATCTCAATTAACGATAATTGGCAGCTACCGTCTCACTTTATAAATCGGCCGTGCCCACCGAATGATGGGACTTTTGAAACCAGCACTTTTGCCTGTCTACCCATGGCACTGCCGAGCTGAGCAGAGCCGCTTATACATACATTGTATAGGCAACGTCATGTCAAGTTTAAATGCTTTTGCGGATCATAACCACTGAGATGCGGAGGATAAGCGGGAAAGCAACTCTCAGGGACGCATTTCTTTCATGCTTTCTTTCTTCAGTAATAGAGCTGAAGAAGCAAAGAAAGCAGTTCTTCCTTCAATAATATAACAATTCTTTCTTCAGTAATAACTGAAGAAAGAAAGCAGTTCTTTCTTCAATAATATAACAGTTCTTTCTTCAATAATATAACACTTCTTTCTTCAGTAATAACTGAAGAAAGAAAGCATTTCTCTATTGCGTAATATAACAGTTCTTTCTTCACTATTATAACTGAAGAAAGATTGCAGTTCTTTCTTCAGTAAAATAACTGAAAAAAGAAAGCACTTCTTTCTTCAGTAATATAACAGATTTTCTTTAGTAATATTACTAAAGAAATGAAGCAGTTTATTATTCAATAATATAACATTTCTTTCTTCAATAATATAACACTTCTTTCTTCAGTAATAACTGAAGAAAGAAAGCATTTCTCTATTGCGTAATATAACAGTTCTTTCTTCAGTGTTATAACTGTAGAAAGATTGCAGTTCTTTCTTCAGTAATATAACTGAAAAAAGAAAGCACTTCTTTCTTCAGTAATATAACAGTTTTTCTTTAGTAATATTACTGAAGAAATGAAGCAGTTTATTATTCAATAGTATAACAGTTCTTTCTTCAGTAATATGACATAAGCAGTTTCTTCTTCAATAATATAACAGTTCTTTCTTCAATAATATAACACTTCTTTCTTCAGTAATAACTGAAGAAAGAAAGCAGTTCTCTATTGAGTAATATAACAGTTCTTTCTTCAGTGTTATAACTGAAGAAAGATTGCAGTTTTTTCTTCAGTAATATAACTGAAAAAAGAAAGCACTTCTTTCTTCAGTAAAATAACAGTTTTTTCTTTAGTAATATTACTGAAGAAAGCAGTTCCTTCTTCAGTAATATAATAGTTTTTTCTTCACTAATATGACAGTTCAGTCTTCAGTTATATAACTGAAGAAAGAAAGCAGTTATTTCTTCAGTAATATAACTGAAGAAAGAAAGCAGTTCTTTCTTCAGTAATATAACAGGTCTTTCTTCAGTAATATAAATGAAGAAAGAAAGCAGTTCTTCCTTCAATAATATAACAATTCTTTCTTCAGTAATAACTGTAGAAAGAAAGCAGTTCTTTTTTCAATAATATAACAGTTCTTTCATCTGTAATATAACAGTTCTTTCTTTAGTAATATTACTGAAGAAAGAACTTTCTTCAATATTATAACTGAAGAAAGAATGCAGTTCTCTATTGAGTAATATAACTGAAGAAAGAAAGTAGTTCTTTCTTCAGTATTATAACAGTTATTTCTTCAGTATTATTACTGAAGAAAGAATGCAGTTCTTTCTTTAATAATATAACTTAAAAAAGAAAGCACTTCTTTCTTCAGTAATATAACAGTTTTTTCTTTAGTAATATAACTGAAGAAATAAAGCAGTTCATTATTCAATAATATAACAGTTCTTTCTTCAATAATATAACACTTCTTTCTTCAGTAATAACTGAAGAAAGAAAGCAGTTCTCTATTACGTAATATAACAGTTCTTTCTTCAGTGTTATAACTGAAGAAAGATTGCAGTTCTCTCTTTAGTAATATAACTGAAAAAAGAAAGCATTTCTTTCTTCAGTAATATAACTGAAGAAACAAAGGAAGCAGTTCTTCCTTTAATAATATAACAATTCTTTCTTCAGTAATAACTGAAGAAAGAAAGCAGTTCTTTCTTCAGTAATATAACTGAAGAAAGAAAGCTGTTCTTTCTGCAGTTATAATAATTCAGTTATAATTATGAATATGATATCAAATTTGAATTTTAACTGTTGACAGTTGTTAAAGAATCTGTCAACTTTTCCAAATAATAAAAAATTATCGTCTTCGTTATTTTAATTTGTATAATAACAA